GAGATAGAAAATAGATTAATGTTTGCCTAGGGCTAAAGAGTTGGGAGAAAATAAGAGTGACTGCTTAAGGGTACAGAACTTCCTTTTGGGTAATGAAAATATTCTAAAATTGTTTGTGATGGTTACACAACTCCTTAAACATACTAAAAACCAATGAATTTTATACTTTAAATGTCTGATTGTATGGAATGTGTATTATATTTCAGTTAAGCTATTAACCACCCCCCTCTAGTGCAATGGCTTTCAACTGAAGCTACACACAAAATAACACAGCTTACTCTTTAAAAGTACAGATCCAGGGCCGGCCCGGTGGCGCACTACTACAGTGCGCCGCTTGGAAGTGTGGCAGCGCTCCCGCCGAGGGTTCGGATCCCACATACAGACCGGTTCCCGCTCACTGGCTGAGCGAGGGGCGGGCGCAGCACCGAGGGTTGCGATCCCGTTGCCGGTCCTGGTCCGGTACGGGCGCGACACTGAGGGTTGCGGTCCGTTGCCAGACACGAAAAAAGACAAAAAAAGGAAAAAAAAAAAAAGTACAGATCCATATGAATTTTAGGATTGTTTTTTCTATTTCTGTGAAGAATGTAACTGGTATTTTGATGGGGATTATACTGAATCTGTAGATCACTTTGGGTAGTATGGACATTTTCACAATGTTAATTCTTCCAATCTATGAACAAGGAATGTCTTTCCATCTTTTGGTGTCCTCTTTAACTTCTTTCAGCAGAATTTTGTAGTTCTTATTGTAGAGATCATTTACCTCTTTTGTTAACTTTATTCCTGGGTTATTTTATTCTTTTGGTAGCTACTGTAAATGGGCTTGCTTTATTGATTTCTTTTTCTGCTTGCTCATTGTTGGTTAGGAATGCTACTGATTTTTGTGTATTGATTTTGTATCCCGCAACTTTACTAAATTTGTTTATGAGCTCTAGGAGTTTTTTGGTAGAGGTTATGGGTTTTTCTATATATAGGGTCATGTCATCTATGAACAGTGACAAATTGACTTTGTCTTCTCTAATTTGGATGCCCTTTAGTTCTTTATCTTTCCTGATTGTTCAATTCTAAAATTAATATGGAACAACAAAATACCCAGAATAGCCAAAATACTCCTGAGCAAAAAATAAATAAATAAATAAAACTGGTGGCATTACACTATCTAAACTTCAAACTATACTACAAAGCTATAGTAACCAAAACAGCATGGTCCTGGCATAAAAACAGACATATGGACCAATGGAACAGAATAGAGAACCCAGAAATCAACCCAGGTACTTACAGCGAACTGATCTTTGACAAAGGCACCAAGAACATATATTGGGGAAAGAACAGCCTCTTCAGTAAATGGTGGGGGGGAAACTGGTTATCCTTGTGTAGATAAATGAAACTAGACCTATTCCTCTCACCATATACCAAAATTGACTGAAAATGTATTAAAGACTTAAGTGTAAGACCTGAAACTATAAAACTCCTAGAAAAAAACATAGGAAAAACACTTCAGGACCCTGGATTGGGCAAAGACTTTATGAATAAGACCCCAAAAGCACAAGCAACAAAAGAAAAAATAAATGGGATTATATCAAACCAAAAAGCTTCTGCACAGCAAAGGAACAATCATCAGAGTGAAAAGACAACTTACTGAATGGGAGAAAATATTTGAAAAACATCCATCCAACAAGGGGTCAATATCAAAGATCTCACACAATTTCACACTAAAAAAACAAATAATTCAATTAAAAAATGGGCAAAGGAGCTGAACAGAAATTTTTCAAAGGAAGACATACAAATGGACAACAGGTACATGAAAAACTGTTAACATCACTAATCATCAGGGAAATGCATATCAAAACTACACTGAGGGGCCGGCCCGGTGGCGCACTGCTACAGTGCGCCGCTTGGGAAGCGCGAGCGGCGCTCCCGCCGAGGGTTCAGATCCCACATACAGACCGGCTGCCTCACTGGCTAGAGCCGCTCACTGGTTGAGCGAGGTGCGGAAGCAACACCGAGGGTTGCGATCTTGTTGCCGGTCCCGGTCCGGTGCGGGCGCGACACTGAGGGTTGCAATCCGTTGCCGGTCAGGAAAAAAGACAAAAAGGAAAAAAAGAAAACTACACTGAGATATCATCTCACCCCAGCTAGACCGGTTACTATCAAAAAGACCAAGAATAACAAATGCTGATGAGGATGTGGAGAAAAGAGAACTCTTCTACACTGTTGGTAGAACTGTAAATTAGTACAGCCATTATGGAAAACAGTATGGAGGTTCTCAAACAACTACAGATTGAACTACCATATGATCCAGCAACCCCACTTCTGGGATACACCCAAAGGAATGGAAATCATCATGTCGAAGGGATACCTGCACTCCCACATTCATCACACCTCTATTTACAATAGCCAGGAGTTGGAACCAACCTAAATGTCCATTGACAGATGGCTAGTATATATACACAATGGAATACTATTCAGCCATAAAAAAGAATGAAACATTTGCAGCAACATGGATGAGCTTGGAGAAAATTATGTTAAGTGAAATAACCCAGGCACACAAAGAGAAATACTGCATGTCCTCACTCATAAGTGGTAGGGGAGGGGAGGGGAGGAGAGAAAAGAGAAAAGGGAAGAGGGAAGGGAAGGGAAAGAGAGGGGAGAGAGGACAGAAGGGAAGAAGGGAAGGTAGGGAAGGTAGGGAAAGTAGGGAAGGGGAGGGAGGGAGGGGAACGAGAGGGGGGAAGGAAGGAAGAAAGGAAATGAAGGAAGGAATGAAAGAAAAACAGACCACAATAAAACACTGAACTTTCAGACGGAGAGAACAGACCTACAGTTAGTTACTAGAGGTGGGAAAGGGGGAGGGGGAGGGGGGTTAGGGAGCAATTGGGTAAGGAACACAAAGAGTAATTACGATTTGCTATGATGAATATGCTAATAATATTGATTTGATCATCACATACTGTACACAAATACTGATAGTCAACTCTGTACCCCATAAATATGTATAATCAAAAACAACAAAAAAATTCTGAAACTTTAAATAAACAAACAAACAAATAAAATAAAAGTACAGGAAGGTGTCAAGATGGCAGAATAGTCGGTTCCTCGTGTTGCTCTCTCCCACAGGGCGACCAATTTGCAGCTTTTGAGGAGCAGCAACAGAGGACCCGAGGTCTGTGCTGGAAAGGACAGGAGCCGCCTGTCACGGGATCCCAGTTCAGGTTGCTCCCCATTTCCTAAAGAGACTTTGGAGCTTTGGAGCTTTTGGGACCAAACACCCCAAGGCAAAAGATTAGGTAGCCACAAATATAAATCATTTAATTATACAAAACATGCCAATTAAAAAATACATTCACTTTTTAGCAAAAATGCTATATCTATATGCTCAAGAACAAACTGAAGTAAGGTTTGTCCCAGGTTTAAAATACTGTGAAATAATTCCTTGCTTAAGAAATGTATGTTCTTAATTCCCAGGTAATTTGATACATCACTATGGAAACAAATCCTTAAAGAGAGAATCATGAATTAAAGCTAAACTTTTAGAACTGAGTACAACACATACACAAAACAAGAACTAAGGCAGGAAATAACATTTTATATTTCTATATAGAAATTGAGTATTTCTTTCTCCAACAGACTATAATTCCAACAGCCAACAGCCTACAATGAGCCATACATGCAGGCCTAATTTTGACTGAATCATTCAACTACCACATTCCTATCTGAAAACACAGAATGGAGCGTTTCCACCCAAGAATTCTTGAAAATATTTTAATATCTCATGAGTGAGTCGTACTGTGTAAGTACAGTACATTGAGAAAAGTAATCATGGACTTTCTAAATACATTTCATTAAACTAAAATTCAGGTTTTAAGTACCTAGTTAGAGTTAAACGTAATGGAACATCATACCTAAAATTTAGACCACACCTTTTTCAAAGCTAAACAAAATTTTAAAACACCCACAAAATATCATATCCCTGAAAACCTGCAGTCTAAAATCAGAAAGTTTCCTTTACCACCCAGTATAAGACCAATGCTCAAAGCAACAACATATTAAAATGAATCTTTGTTTTAATCAGAAATCAACTGCCTTTAATACAAAAACTTCCCTCAAAGTTTCATAATCAACATTCTATGATTTTAAAAAATCTTATAAAAAGGATTCACAAAGGTTCACAAAGAGTTCCCTTATCAATTTCTCAAAATTGATGTCAATGGATTACTATATTCCAAATGTTTCAAATTTTTTTCCCCTAATTAAAAATATCGGGACAACTAATTTCTTTTTACTGACTTGTTCACACAACTATAATTTTTATTTTTTCTCCTATTACCATTCTTTTAAAAACATTGTCTTCGTTGCAGTACAATTTAGATTTATATACAAGACTGGAATGAAATCTACCCAAAACGCTAACAGTTGCATTTACTATAGGTGATGACTTCTACCTTTCCGTATTCTTACATTACTTTTAATAAACATATAAGTACTTTCAAAATGAAAAAAAAAAATTTTCTATTTTCTTATATCATTGCTCATTCACAAGGTTCTGATATGTCAACCTTTTTTGGTAAATTAGGTAGAAAGTGATGTGAATTTAAACAAACGTTTTTTAGATAAAGATAGGAAAGTCAGAAAATGGGAAAATATAGCCCTAATATATCTAATTATTATATAGATACTAAAAATAGGTGGCAATAACTTAAAAATTAGGCAAACATATTTTCTTTTTCTTCAAATTCACTTTTTCTCCAATGAAAATTAAGAAAGATTAGATTTGTGTGAAAAAGGCATAATTACAAGAATTTTCTTACTTAAGTCTATAAAATAATCTCAAGCCATGTACTATCAATATTGCTACAAACTGAACAGTTAAGGTAAACTGTAGAGAACACAGAATTAGAAACAAGCTATTTTCAGGCAAGTATCAGGTATTTTCTAACATGGAAAAGCACTCAACAAAATAATTTAGGGTAACATATATTACAAATAATAATCCAAGGACTTACCAATTTCAGCAGGTAGTTGTTTGATTTTGTTCTCTCGAATGCTAAGCATGCTGAGTTTTGACAGGTTTTTGATGTCCTTTTCCACAGTAGTTATACGATTAAAGCGAAGGTATAGGGTGGTGAGAGAATCTAGCCTGTACACCACTGAAGGGATTTCTCTCAGTTTATTATGCCGTAAATCAAGCATCCGCAGCTTCTTCAAGTTATCAAGAGAGTCAGGCAAACTGGTAAGTGAATTTTCACTTAGAGCCAGTGTCATGAGATTTATTAGACAGCCCACCTCTGCTGGGAGGGACTGCAATTTGTTACTGTATAAATAAAGTTCTGTTAATTGAGTCAACTCTTTGATTGATGATGGCAATATGTGTATAGACCTCTTGGATAAGTCCAAACGCATTGAATTCTCTTCCCGGCATTTGTTGAGCTCTTTAATCACCTCTGCATTGCTGGATTTTTTTCTAGTCCCAGGTGCTGGATTTGGCCGTTTGATCGTATTGTCAACTGAAAAAGCCACACCTGGTTGGACAGCACTAGAGTCCTTCTTTCCATCTTTGGCATCTTTCCCTTTGGTCTTAGATTCTTTTTCTTTGCTCTCTTTCCCAAAACCTCCGGAGGCTTTTGCCTCCTTTTCCCTTTCCTTGGCTGATGGTACTTTGGGATCTTTTTCTTTAGAGTCTTTTTCTTTTCCTAAACTACTACTCATGGTGACACAAACTTGGACAAAAACTACATGAACTCCTTTTAATTCTATTTGCCAGTAACAGGAATTCAAGGATGAATAGACAAAGATCCTACGCAATCAAAAAGGTGTTGGCTTGAAGAAGTAATCAGCATGGAGTAAAAACCATCTGTTACATGTTGGATCTAAAAGTACTATGCCCATTTCTGATAACTCATTCCAGCTGGTAAAACGTTGCTGGTCAACCAGTAACTCATTAGAATTCCTGAAATATAATACAGAGAGATTAAATTAGTTTTGATTATAATTCACATTAAATAGACTCTGAAAAACAATCTCATTGCAGTTTGCCATTTTCCTATGATTCAATACAGTAAATATTTATTAAACACCCTTTATTTATGTAAAATCCTTTGACAACTACAAAAATTCATAAGGCAGGATCTGCCTTCAAGAAAGTTGCAAATCTGGGGGCTGGCCCATGGCTCACTTGGGAGAGCGTGGTGCTGACAACACCAAGTCAAGGGTTAAGATCCCCTTACCGGTCATCTTTTAAAAAAAAAAAAAAAAAAGGAAAATTGCAATCTAATAGGAAGAGGTGAGAAAAGAATACAAATTACTATAGTACACAACTTTATAAGAGCTAAAAAGTGGGAGAAATCACAGCAGCAGCTAAGGTTTATTAAGTGCTCTGTAAGTACACGTACTATTCTAAGTTTACAAATACTAATTCATTTAATATATATAACCCTATGACGTAAATTGTTTTCCCCATTTTATACAGAGACACCTAAGCACAGAAATATTTTTAAGTAACTTTGTAATCTTGAAAAAGTGACAGAGCCAAGATTCCAAATTAGGTAGTATGTATCCACAGCCTATGTCCCTAACCACTATAGTAAAACTGCTCTATGTACTACTAATCGCCAGATAGCTTTAAAAAATAAAAAGGATTTCAAAGGTGATGATGATCGAAAGGAGAGCAGTCTGGCAAAAGAACAAAATGAAATATGTATGAAAAACAACAAATAGTTCAGGGGAAAAGGGCATTAAGAACCTGTACTTCAATAAGCATTCTTAGCTGATTCTAATGCAGATAGATCTGGGGACCACCTTTGAGAAACAGTAACAAATAGCAATCTCCAATAATGTCTACGTTCTAGGGACTGGAAAAGTGAGAAAGACCAATGGCACAGGGTTCTTTTTTTTTTTTTTTTTTTTTTTCCTTTTTTTGGTCTTTTTTCGTAACCGGCAACGGATCGCAACCCTCAGTGTCGCGCCCGTACCGGACCGGGACCGGCAACGGGATTGCAACCCTTGGCGTTGCGCCCGCACCTTGCTCAGCCAGTGAGCGGCCGGTCTGTATATGGGATCCGAACCTTCGGCGGGAGTGCCGCCACGCTCCCAAGCGGCGCACTGTAGCAGTGCGCCACCGGGCCGGCCCACAGGGTTCTTAAAAGTAGAAAAAGTTCACTGGTGTAATGACTGACCAAAAAGATCCACAAAGGCTGAAAAGATGAGTAAAATCTTTGTGGAAGGAATCAGTACTCCCTAAACATTTTGAAATTTAAAATTAATAATTATTTTGTGACTCCATTGTTAATTCTATAAAAATAACTGATAGCTATTTAGTACTAGAGATTAAAGATTAAAGACAAAGTGATAACATTTTACTTGATTAGCTTTAAGAGGTTAAAAAAGTTATTAAAATTTTATCAAACCACCACAAGGATTTGATAGTCTAAGTGCACAGGACTGTGTTAAGAATTTTTTATAGGATGTGAGCCCCACCCAATACAAGTTTACAGTTTAACTAGTCAGCCAAAACACTTACACATGACAACTAAGTAACTGACAAGATAGTATATTAATAAATCCTCAGATGAGTGACATATGCTAGAGTACTTCTGAGAGAAAAATCAACATCAGTGAAAATGATTGAGAAGAGTCAGGTACAGGAAGGACTTAGGCTAACTAGCCTTTGATTAATGAGTAGCGTTTAAGCAAGTAGAGAAGAGGTGGCAAAGCATTATAGATGAGCGTCACGAAATGGAAAGTTTGGCCCAGAATAGGGAATGAGCTTGGCTTAGCACAGGATGGTGAAAAGGTAGGATTTTGCTGAAGCAAAGGGTCAGATGTGCAGGGACAACAGCAGCTGGGTAAAGGAGGGATGATCTGTAAATTCAAAACTGCAGGGGCCGGCCCGGTGGCGCACTGGATAAGTGCGCTGCTTGGGAAGCGCGGCGGCGCTCCCGCCCGAGGGTTCGGATCCCACATACAGACCGGTTCCCGCTCACTGGCTGAGCGAGGCGCGGGAGCAACACCGAGGGTTGCGATCCGTTGCCGGACACGGAAAAAGACAAAAGACAAAAAAAAAAAAACTGCAGAGTATGAGCTTTATTGGTACATAAGATTCTACAATTAAATAAATATTTGCTAGCACATTAGAAAGCTCTATGTCCCCATTATTCATCACCCCTTCAAGAAAACAATTATTTTGAGGTAGAACGGACAGCGACTACAAAAAACTTCAGAGAAACTGATCCAGAAAGTAATGCTGATAAGCCAATATGAAAGCACGTTTACTAAAACCATACAAGAGTGAATGATGGAAAATACACACAACTGAAGGGATACAGGCATTGCTTATCAGCTTGTATTTAAGAAATGTCATTATACCAAATTTCTGCAATCAAATTTCTATTTAGCAAGATGTGTATATACTAAGTTTAGAAGGACTCTTCCTATGGTAAGGATCAAGTGAGACTTACAGGGTATAAAAAACATAGATCTTAGGTATCACAGAACAAATCCATCCTCCTAAAGAGTAAGGAAACTGGGAAAGAAAAAAAAGGAAAACTTTAAAGTTTCAGCTTATTTTAAATTAGATTTAAAATTAGATTTTAAATAATTAAAACACAATTAGATTTTAAACATTTTTGAAAGTTAAAAATAACACTTTCAACACACAATAAGCATTTTGAAAGAGGGAATTCCTTATTTCCTATTTTGTTTCGCAAATGATAAAAACAAAACAAACGAAAAAACAAAAAACAACCCTCCGCAACCTAGTATATCTGTTTAAAAATACAAATATCCAGGCTTCATCCCAAACCACTAAATCAGAATCTTTAGGGAGAAGGGGTGTGTGAAAACTTTTTAAAAAAAAAAAAAAATAACAAATGCCTCAGCAAATGTTTAGCAAGTTTGGCAAACACTTGATCTGACCAACTTTAAGATAGGAACACTAGTATATTTAATATTATATTTCTCAAATATAATTCTAAAATAAAAGAAGGTTAAAGGAAAGGGTGGGTCAGAAAAGGAATTGTATTAATGAAAAAACAAGTTACTAATATCTTAAAGTTTCCACTGCAGCCTAAAGGGACTTCTATAATCTATAGATATCGTCTGCTATATTTGATGTTCAGACTACCAATATTTGAACTGTTTAATGATTTTACTGCACTGTTAATGGATTTGAACTAAGTGACACATATATTCATCCTGCAGCTCTTATACTTAATGAGATTTGCTGGTATATAGTTCAGTCACAGTACATAAAAATATAACTAGTCAGAGAACAGAATTTTGGAACTTGACATTATCGCTATGCTTTACTAAAAGGAATTAACTAACCAGTCTTGACTAGTTGACTAAAAATTTTTCACATCCAATAAAAATATATTTTGTCCAGGAGAACTAACGAATGACTTGACAGCACAAAATTAAATTCTGGGTCTAATCCAGACCTGAATCAGGTGACACTGCCAAACATTTTAGATGAGAAAATGTATTAAGAGTAATCATTCATGTTTCTTGGAAATGAGCTTTTTATTCAATAGTCAGGTTTTTTTAAAGTCACTTTAATTCTACAATGTTTGGGGGACAGCTTCATTTGCACAAAATTTGAATCTTGCACCCACTTATGTAATAGAATATACAGTGCATTTTACCTTTAGTCCAAAATGACACTAAACAAGAAACTACCAATGCAATTTGTTGGTGGAGGACTGAGTTGATGCACTTTTTCTCTGGCACATAGCTGTGTTCCAAATTATGAAAACTCTTAATTTCAAATTCCTAAATAGAAGAGTTCCTTTATTCCCAATTTACAGATGAGAAAATTGAGGAAGTAAAGTCAGATACCTAGTAAGTGACTGTAGAAAAATTCAAAATCAGCTCTGCCTAATTCTAAAGCCCATATATATTCTGTCCCCTATCCCATGCTAGATTTCGAAGATACACATCCAAACTATGATTGTATGAAGATGTTGATTACAATTAACTTAGGCTTCCAATACTTTCTAAATCAGAGCTCTGCAAATTCTTCCTGTAAAGGTCAGAGATTAAATACTTCAGTTTTATGGGCCAGATTGGTCTCTGTTGCAGATACTCGACTTTGTTATTTTAGCATAAAAGCAGCCATAAGACAATACATAAATAAATAGGAGTATCTGTGTTTCAGTAAAACTTTACCAAAGCAAACTTCAAACTGTATTTGGCCATGAGGCCACAGTTCGCCAACCCCTATCCTAAGTCACTGTTCAGGTTTTAAATCATTCCTTTCAGGAACTATATTTTTATATTAATTAAACACAAGAAGTAAAAATATTTTTTTCCTTCCTCTTGTAATATACTCACATTACATTTAGCTATTTCCAAAAGAAACTTCCTACAATTTGAAGGGAAGATGGAAGGGAAAAAGCACTAGCCTATTAAAATCTATTGTTGGTATAAGACTATAATGATAATCATCACATGTAATAACTATTTACTTAAAAAAAACCACACACACCAATAGGCCATATACACTAAATATATTCCTTAGTCTTATCTGAAATGCAGATGTGAAAGCTTTACAATATTAGATCTTGAGTTACAATGAACAGAACTTCAGATTCCAGACAAGATGGAACGAGCCCATTAAACCCTGTTCTTCCAACTAATTACAGTACAACCTAAATTCATGGACAAAATTTATAAAGGAACTAGAAAAAGACTCTGAAAGGTAGAGAAAAGAAGGTAGACTGACTAGGGACCTTGAGATTCAATAGCACCCTTTTCGCTATAGCTTTATGAATCTACTTGAACACCACAAAAGAAGCCATACCCCTCTACCACCCCAACTAGCGTTGAGGCCACAAAGACTGTGCAGTGAAACTCTGCCAACCATCCCAGATTTGCACTAACTTGAACAAAAGCAGCACACATCTCCCTTCACATTAGCACTGTAGTGGAGGAGACTGTGGACCATGCTCATGCTGCACTGAGCAAATGTCAGCTAAGAAGTGGTAAACCTCTCCCTTCCAACTGGTGCAAAAGCTGTACTATGAGATGGAGAAAGTCCTGTTGATCATCCCCTATCCTGCGCTAAGCAAATGTAAGCAAAGATACAACATACCACCCTCTCCCAACTAAAGGGAAAGAGAGGATTATG